TGTAACCACACTAGCCCAGGACCTCCACATCCAGCATGTTCACCTCCAAGATCGTCTGAGACCAGCCACTCGGACAGCTGCTGCAACAATCTGTTTGCATAACCAAAGAATTTCTGCACAAACTGTCAGAAACCGTCTCAGGGAAGCTCATCTGCATGCTCGTCGTCCTCATTGGGGTCTCGACCTGACTGCAGTTCGTCGTCGTAACCGACTTGAGTGGGCAAATGCTCACATTTGATGGTGTCTGGCACGTTGGAGAGGTGTTCTCTTCACGGATGAATCCTGGTTTTCACTGTTCAGGGCAGATGGCAGACAGCATGTGTGGCATTGTGTGGGTGAGCGGTTTGCTGATGTCAACGTTGTGGATCGAGTGGCCCATGGTGGCGATGGGGTTATGGTATGGGCAGGCGTATGTTATGGACAGTGAACAAAGGTGCATTTTATTGATGGCATTTTGAATGCACAGAGATACCGTGACGAGATCCCGAGGCCCATTGTTGTGCCATTCATCCACGACCATCACCTCATGTTGCAGCATGATAATGCACGGCCCCATGTTGCAAGGATCTGTACACAATTCCTGGAAGCTGAAAACATTCCAGTTCTTGCATGGCCAGCATACTCACCGGACATGTCACCCATTGAGCATGTCTGGGATGCTCTGGATCGGCGTATACGACATCGTGTTCCAGTTCCTGCCAATATCCAGCAACTTCGCACAGCTATTGAAGAGGAGTGGACAACACCAACAGGCCACAATCAACAATCTGATCAACTCTATGTGAAGGAGATGTGTTGCACTGCGTGAGGCAAATGGTGGTCACACCAGATACTGACTGGTTTTCTGACCCCCCCAGACCCCCCCAGTAAAGGAAAACTGCACATTTCAGAGTGGCCTTTTATTGTGGCCAGCCTAAGACACACCTGTGCAATATTCATGCTGTCTAATCAGCATCTTGATATGCCACACCTGTGAGGTGGGATGGATTATCTCGGCAAAGGAGAAGTGCTCACTAACACAGATTTGTGAACAATATTTGTGAGAAATGGTCTTTTGTGTATGTAGAAAATGATTGAGATCTTTGAGTTCAGCTCATGAAAAATGGGAGCAAAAACAAAAGTGTTGCGTTTATATTTTTGTTCAGTATACTTTTACTAATGCCCTTTCATGACAACAGTGCGGGCTGATTTTTTTCTTATAACTAACCCATTTAAATGCTATTAATGATTTAAGTTACTCATATCTAATGACACTGCCACTTTGAGTGACAAGTGGGTGCCATCAATTGACAAGTCACTGCGACCGCAACAACGTTGGTTAAGTTACATAACCATGACATAATCCAGATATACCAAGTATAGGTAGCCATAGCTGATGGTAGTTTTGTGTTTTCAGTTCATGAAAGTTAATGGTAACATTTTGATCACCTAACAATGTCTTTTTTACGACTGGTTGTACTGTAAGACCCACAGAGTTGGGTATTCGATTTTTTGGCAAGTACATTGTTTTAATGGTTTTAGGCCTGTTTTTTTTAATAGTGAAAATTAGCATTAACATTATCAAAGTTAAATATGGCTTTAAATGCACCATGCTAACCAAGCCAGCAGCTAGTGTTAGGGTTAGCTCTACCTTCTCGACCAAATATGGTCACTCCTGTCTCAAAACATCCAACCTGGCAATGACCAAAATGCCAATCTCAAGACTTCTATATGGGAATCCACAAACCAATGGGTGATGTCTCGATGGCTACATCCATTATTATGTTATACAGTCTACGGTATTATCAATGACTGATCAGGTGTCCTCAATATTCCCATCTCTATCATTATAATTTTACTCTTTTGGCAGATGTATTTATTTTGCTGTATAATATCCTTTCCCTCTATTCCATCCTACTACATTCATAAAAACAATACACAAGTGGTTTTAACTACATGTGCTGTTATCTGTTTTGTTTGCACTAAATTTGCTTTGGCAAATAACCATCTTTATTTTTCATGTGTAAAAAAGTAATTTTAATTGAATTAAATTAAAGGAAAGAGCAAATACAGAACATCATATCAGTGTGAGAAAAGGATCAAAATGAGATAAGAAATTAAAAAGATTTCCTCAAGGATTGTGATCCAATTGGAGACAAAGAAGGGCTTTCCTCATCTCTCTCTACATTGCTCTTTTCCCCTCAGGCCAATCCTTTTTCACTTAGCGATTAGACTATTGTGTCCATCAATACTGTGTGGCACAGAGAGAGAGAGAGAAGAAAGACTATGTCTCCCTGGTTCTCAATGATTCTCTTTCTTTGTTCAACTGGGGACCATTTGGAGAAGAGATGATTCTGTTATTTCAGCATGTAATCAATATAAACTTGTTTGACTTAAAACTGCCACCTCTGTTTTTTGCTGGGAGGGAAAAAAATGACAAAGGATACTGTTAAGAGACTCAGGATCAATTACCTCATGTATGTCCATCTGTACGAGAATGCATACTTTAGCAAGACTGTAGCTGTGTAGCTCAGAAAATGTTAACATACATTTGACTGTAATGGGAATATGGATTGTAGAGGCAAGTGTTTTATTATTTATACTTTGCAGCTGCATACAAATTACAATGTAGAGCAACATTTTCTGCACATAGAGACGGACAACAAAATTACTGAAACACTTGTAAAAGTATATCAATTCAACTGTCAATGCATTTATGTCTGTCTGCCAGACATTTATCAGCATTTTTAATTTTATGACATCAAATCACCTTTCTCACCAGAAAGCACAACAGAACTTGCTAGAGAGTAGTTAAGTGACAGAAAATGCGGTGATACATGGCACTTAGTTGTGTCTGGTGTATGATACGAGAGGGTGGCGGACGCCAACAAACTGTGCGGACGCCAGTGACGTTGTGGGAACGGAGTGTGACTCTCTGATGGTGGTGTCAGAGAGGAGGATGCTGTCTAAGCTACGAACTATCTTGGACAATGTCTCACACCCACTCCACCATGTGCTGGTCAGGCACAAGAGTACTTTCAGTGGGAGACTCATACCACCAAGATGTACCGCTGAGCGCCACAGGAAATCATTCCTGCCTGTGGCCATCAAACTGTACAACTCCTCCTTCTGAGTGGCCCTGAGACTTTTTCACACACTGCAATAATTTAATTTAACTTGTGCAATAACCACATTCACCCTGACTGTATATATTCTGTTTGTGTAAATAATCTTGTTCAGTTTACAATATATATATGTATATATATATATATTTATTTACGTTTATGTTTGTTAATAATTCCTGTTTATTTAACTATATATTTGTTAATACTATTGTTTAAATTTCTTATATTTTCACGTATCTTTCCTCTCTTGCAAGGAGCACCTAACATAACATAACATAAATAATTTCCCCTCGAGGATCAATAAAGTATTTCTGATTCTGATTCTGATTCTGATGATGGAGTTCAGGATAGGATGATGAAACTTGGACCATGTGAGACCGAATGCTGTCTTGATTGGACCCACCAGTGAGTCACTCAGTAAGACACCTTTCAAGTTCAACAAAGGGTTGCTTATCTAACCAGGCTTTCGTCAAAGGGACACAGACTGCTGCTTCTTTAGCATGGTTCGTTGCTCTAAGGTTATGATTCTGGCATAGGGTTGAGGAGGTTTGGGGTTCCGATCCCAAGAGCAAAACAGGGGCTATGGTGACTGTTTGACAACTGACAACACAGACATATCTCAGTGATCAGATATTTTAATGGAAAAGATTTTGAAGACTTTGATTCCACTGGAAGGTAATGCCACTGGAGACATTATCCTTGGAAAACTGAAGAAACTATTTGAAAAGCATGGTTTTTCATTACAAAAAGTCAACCTTGTGGTCACGTACGTGCTTCTGAGATGATAGGCACAAACAGGAAAAGCAGAATTAAAAATGTTGCTACCTTCTTGGCTTACTACTAAGAAGGGGTCTGATAGATGTCATTGACAAATCAATGAAAATGAATAATTTCATCAGAGGAAATTCAAGTTAACAATATCACCTGCTGTATGGCTCCACTATGACGAGCGCAAGCCAAGCAAGGGCAGAGCACTCGAGTGCATGGAAGTCCACATTTCCCAATTGAAAGCACAGTAGTACTTGTTAGAGAATAGTTTGTGACAGAAACCTGGTAATAATTGGGTCTTATTTAAGGGAAGTAATGCCAGGTTTATGATGGTCTTCAGGATGGGTTGATGTGACGTGGACTGTGTGAGATTAAATGCTTTTGTGGTTAGGCCCACCAGTCAGTTACTCAGCAAGACATCTGTAAGGTTCACTGAAGGCTCATCTTTCTTCTCTAGCCAAGATGTGAACATTGCTGTCCTGGAAAGAGTGTCTCCTCTCCTTTAGGTGTAAGTGTACAGCCGAGTCTTGACCTGACAAGCTGGCTCGTCTGCGCTGTTCCATGCAATTGTGGAGTGGTTGTTTTGTCTACTAATGTACAAATCTGTGCATTCCTGGCTGCATTGAACTGCATGCACTACATTAATGTGCTTATGCCTGGCTGCAAAAGACTGCTTTGTCATCTTAAACCATAGCAATGTGAATGTGGATGGAATTGGTAGAGTCAGCACGGAGCCAGCCAAACATCCGCTCGTCTTTTGGTAACAGAGGTTGCATCCCACAAGTCTTACAGCCTTACGTACAACAATAAGAGGTGCTTGCAATTTGGGACAACATCAGGCTACCACCTTAGTCACTTTATCTGATATCAGACATTGTCAACTGTCAGTGGTGGATTTGAACCCACGTCTCCTGAGAGACTGGAGCCTTAATCCAGCGCCTTAGACCACTCGGACAGACTACCGGCAAAGACGCCCTTCCCTCGTGTCTGCAGCTTTTTTTTCCCTGTTTCTTTTTTCCGCTAAGCCATACTCACGTGCGACACATGCCCTACATTGGACATTTCATGTTCCTTGCAGATCTAAGCATGTTTTCGACGAGACAGCCCACAACTTTTCTTCTTCCGCTTGGCTTGTTGTTCTAGTGTTATGATTCTCGCTTTGGGTGCGAGAGGTCCCGGGTTCAAATCCCGGACGAGCCCAAAAGCAAGAGCGCTAAGGAGGTGACTGTTTAGTTTCTGAGGAACTGTGCAGGAGAGGAATATTGGGTGCCAGAGCCCAAATCCAG